AGGCAAAGGTAGAAGCCAGGAGTTGGGAACTCAACCCTGGTCTCCCATGGGTGGCAGGGACCCAACTACTTGACCCTCACTGCTGCCTCCCAGGGTCCACATTATCAGGAAGCTGGAGCCCAAGTTCAAGGTCAAACCCAGACACTCAGATGTGGGCCACTGGCACCCTAACCGGCATCTTAGCTGCTAGTCAAATGCCCACCCTGGGAAAAGATATGTTGAGACACCATGAGTGCCTGCATTTGACATGAAAAGCTCCTGTTAGGTTTGCAAGGAAGAGTTGGTCTAACAACCTTCCTTCAATATCCGAAACACCTGGGGAATCTAGATAGTTCCCTGGCCAAGAGCTTTACCATGTACGAGAGGCATTCATGCAGGAAAGACGTAAGGGGCTAATGCACCCAGGCATGTTCCCACCTCACATTTTTAAAGATTTATTTTTTATTTATTATTTGAAAGAGTTACACAGAGAGAGGAGAGGCAGAGAGAGAGAGAGAGGTTCACTCCCCAATTAGCCGCAATGACTGGAGCTGCACCAATCTAAAGCCAGGAGCCAGGAGCTTCTTCCGGGTCTCCCACACGGATGCAGGGGCCCAAGCACTTGGGCCATCTTCTACTGCTTTCCCAGGCCACAGCAGAGAGCTGGATCGGAAGTGGAGCAGCCGGGTCTTGAACCGGCGACCATATGGGATGCCAGCGCTTCAGACCAGGGCTTCAACCCACTGCGCCACAGTGCCGGTCCCCCACCTCACATTTGGCAGGGAGTGGCCACCCTATGTGGTCTCTAATTCCTGTTTGTTAGAGTCTTACCCTCCCTCCCCTTCAAGTAGAAAAGCTGAGTGGCTTTAAAAAATAAATGCAAAGGTGAGGAGAAGGAAGCAAAGTGCATAAGGGACTGTGTGGGGAGCAACCGAGACTAGACTAAATAACTGGAACTGCTAGGACTGATTCTATGCATCTGATCTCCCACCATATGGCGCTGAGAGGGAGTAAACAACTTCCACACAGCTGCCTCACCAATTCGACTAACAAGCTGCAGGAGCTGATCCTGCCCCTGATTGGAGGAGAGCAGCGTGCTCAGCAGGCGGGGAGAGAGCGCCAGCAGAGTTGGGATTGGTGGAAGAGGACTATAAAGGAGGAGAGAGACAACATGCACCAGGAACACCTGAGGAACCCCTGAAAGAGTCAGCCGGCGGTGTGCTACTCCTCCGTGGAAGCGGGGAAAGCGGTGGGGGTGCCGGCAGCAAACCCGGGATGGTGTCGTTCCTACACGAGGGGGGAGCAACAGGACTGCTGTGGGGTAACAGAAATACTTCCATGACTGAACTGTTGGGCACCAAATTGGGCATTTTTATTTACTGTAAATTATAACTTAATAAAAATGTTTTTTTTTTTAAATGTACAGTTGAGGTGTATGCAGTCATTCATTGTATGCAATTCTACATCAGGAAAGAGAAAACTAAACGCTGTTGAACTCTAGTTGATGATACTCACGCTGAGGTATCAGGGGCGAGGGTAGCAATGCCTGCACTAAATAGAAGGTAAATTAACAGACGGGCAGATACATGGTACAGCAAGCATAGCAAATTACAGCTCAGCTGCACAGCCGCGGGGGTGATTTGCAAGTTGCCACTTTAAAATTCCAACTTTGACGTGCTTGAAAATTTCATTACAAAATGTCGGGGGGAAACCAAGTGGCTTCAGGTTCCTGGCAGAGCCCAAGAGCTCCCCCGCTCGCACCGGCTCCACGTTGCAAGCCCTGGAGAAGATCCTCAAACCCAGCCACTCGCAGAGCTGACGTGACCAGAAATAGCAGAAACTGAGCGGAGTCAGCCGGCGGAAGAAGGTGCCCCCGGGGAAGTTTCCTGCTGGTTTTCTTTCTCCCCACCTCTCTTCTCCTGAGGTCGGGTCTCGGGCTGCACCATGCAGGCCTGGGAGTCTCCAGCAGAAAATGGAGTCTGCCTGGAGTGAGTGCAGCCTCTGGAGAGGGAGTGACACAAGAGAGGACTCTCAAGTTCTCTACAGAGACTGCTGGGAGATCCAGCTGACGTCTGAACTTGCATGCACGGCGAGGGCTAACACAAACTCAACATTAAGTAAAAACCACTCAGCCACATTTCAGGGCTCAGCTGTCAGCGTCATGCTACCCTCCCTGCGGAGAAGCATAGATAGAAAGTATGTCCATTATTGCACAACTTCTGGACGGCACTGGATTGGCCAATCCAGTTAAAACATGGAAGCTGTCCGAATCGACCCAGCTCTCACTCAAAAAATACCCAACCATGCTGCTCACAACAAGCCCACTTTGAATACACAAAGTCACAGGTTAAAAGTAAATGGGTGAGAAAAGATAGCATACAAATGTCAAGCAAAAGTCAGCCATGGTGACTGAGCCTCAGATAAAGTAGACTTCCAAGCCAAGGGTATGACCAGAGGGAAAGACGTTACCATCATAAATGCACGTGCCTGAAACAGCTCCAGGTCAACGAAGGAAAATGGACAGAATCAGAGGAAAAAAGACAATCACACAATTGTAACTAGTGATGTTAAATACCCTCTCACCCACCCATAGGACAGCCAGAATGAAAGTCAGCAAGACAGACGATCTGAAAACTCAGCTGGTCCCTTGACCTAATCGACCTTTACCGGCATTGCTACCCAGCAAGTGCAGACTGCGCCTTCTTTCCAAGTGTGTATGGCACACTCTCTAAGGCCATCTGGCTGTTCCATAAAACAGGTGTCAGTCAATTAAGAAAGAGGGGAGGCCGGCACCATGGCTCAATAGGCTAATCCTCCACCTTGCGGCACCGGCACACCGGGTTCTAGTCCCAGTCAGGGCGCCGGATTCTGTCCCGGTTGCCCCTCTTCCAGGCCAGCTCTCTGCTGTGGCCAGGGAGTGCAGTGGAGGATGGCCCAAGTGCTTGCGCCCTGCACCCCATGGGAGACCAGGATAAGCACCTGGCTCCTGCCATTGGATCAGCGCGGTGTGCCGGCTGCAGCGCGCTGGCCACGGTGGCCATTGGAGGGTGAACCAACAGCAAAAGGAAGACCTTTCTCTCTGTCTCTCTCTCTCACTGTCCACTCTGCCTGTCAAAAAATAAAAATAAAAAAGAGGGGGAAAACTGAATGTTGAATACTCACATTGGAAACAAGTTAGACATACATAACTTGCCTGTTAAAAAAAAAAAAAAAAGGCCTGCACTGCGCCTCACTAGGCTAATCCTACGCCTGTGACGCCGGCATCCCGGGTTCTAGTCCCAGTTGGGGTGCCAGATTTTGTCCCAGTTGCTCCTCTTCCAGTCCAGCTCTCTGCTGTGGCCCAGGAGTGCAGTGGAGGATGGCCCAAGTGCTTGGGCCCTGTACCCACATGGGAGACCAGGAGGAAGCACCTGGCTCCTGGCTTCGGATGGGCACAGCGTGCAGCTGTAGCGGCCTTTTGAGGGGTGAACCAACGGAAGGAAGACCTTTCTCTCTGTCTCTAACTCTGCCTGTCAAAAAAAAAAAAGAGAGAGAGAAAAAAAAAAACAGATATTTGGAAATTATGCAAAGTTTTTTTTTTTTTGACAGGCAGAGTGGACAGTGAGAGAGAGAGAGAGAAAGGTCTTCCTTTTTGCCGTTGGTTCACCCTCCAATGGCCACTGCGGCCAGCGGGCTGCGGCCGGCGCACCGCGCTGATCCGATGGCAGGAGCCAGGATCCAGGTGCTTTTTCCTGGTCTCCCATGGGGTGCAGGGCCCAAGTACTTGGGCCATCCTCCACTGCACTCCCGGGCCACAACAGAGAGCTGGCCTGGAAGAGGGGCAACCGGGACAGAATCCGGTGCCCCGACTGGGACTAGAACCTGGTGTGCCGGCGCTGCAAGGCCATGGCGCTGGCCAGTACAGTGTCTTAAAAACAGCCTGCCAGCTCTTCACAAGGGCCGGGGAGGGCTCAGGAACTGCTGTACCTTGACAGCGCAAGCAGCGCCTGGGGACAGCGGCAGGCAGTTTCTTAGGAAACTACCCCAGCACCCAGAATTCCCACTGCTATGTGCCCAGGACATGTGCAAACAGCTGCCTACAAACAGTTGCTCGAGCAGGTTCCTGACAATGTTACTTATGATAACCAAAATTCCCTAGAAACCCTGCTCCTATCAACAGAATAAGTAAATGAACTATAATATATCTAAACAATGCAAAACTAGCAATAAAAAGGAAAAAGTTACTAAAACAGGGACACATTACTAAAGCATGGATAAATCGCAAAACTATGCTTCACACCAAGGAGACCTACCTGGAACAGCAAAACTAAATGCAATAAAGGCCACAAAATATATATATATTTAATCACAAGGTTGGTTCCCTGTGGCGAATGTGGGAGGAAGCCTGGGAGTGCGCACCTGCAGGTGATGGTCCCTTGGCCGGCTGCATAGGCAGGTGCCTGCGACGTGTATGCAATTGTCAGAACCCTTTTAATGCTCCACTGCAGATCTGGGCATTTCACTGCTCGTAATCTTTACCCCCAAAGGAGCAAATAAATATTGAAATCTAGGTAACGACAGTCAAGCAGGAGAGCTGGGACAGGGCGGAAGTGCCTACAACTTTCTGCATCCCAATTGGATGGACCGATGGGAGGAGGGGCGCGTAGATGGGGAATCATGCAAGTATAGTGCAATGCTAACTGTGGAGTCCAGGTGCTGGGTATGTGGGTGCTCATTGGAAAATCTATACAACTTTTTGTCATGGTTGAAAGTTTTCATAATAAAATGGACACTCACCTCGGGTGCATATACCTGCCCCTGCGTCTGCTACTTTTCCAAGGAGCCTGCCCCCAGTAGGCTACTACAAAATCAAAGCAGCGAGGAAGACGGGCGGTGTCCGGGTTTCTTCACGCGCCCCACAACTGTGCGTGACTTTCATTCAAAATGATTTGGTTTTGCTCCTCCGGGCTGCGAGCGGGTGGGGCTCTGAACCTGGGACCGCTCCCACGTGCCCGGGGTGGCTTTGTCCATGGGTGGGGCGACAAGTGTAGCGAGGGGGCCGAGCGCCCTCTCCTGGCCCCCGACGGGCCGGCGTAGGCCTGCCGAGCGCCCATCTCCGGGAAGCGCACGCCCCGGGTGTGAGCGCCGCAGCCCCGAGGTCCGCCCGCCGAGCGCCCGGCCCCAGCCGGCGGAGTCCAGAGCCGGAGGCGGCCCTGCGCGTCCTGGAGGCGGGCGACGGGGTGGAGTCGCCGCCGCAGGCAGCCGCGCGGCTCCACCTGTTGCAGCGTCGGCGCGCGCCTGCTGGGGAAGGTAGAGATCCGCGCGGGTCTCTGCCGCAGGGCGGAAGCGGCGAGGGGTTCGGGGGACAGTCCCAGCGGAGCGGCACGGACAGAGCGCTCCCAGGGAGGTGAGAGCCGAGCGCGGCCGCGGCCCCAGCGCCCCTGCAAGGTGGGGTCTCCGGGAGGGGCCTGGCGGTCTGCTGGAGCGCTGGCAACGGGTGTGCGCCGGGTGCGGGTGGGGAGCGCACTCTGCGTGGAGCCCAGGCCCGCAGCCCGTGCGCAAGAGAGGGAGGTCTCCGGGGTCACTGTGGCCAGGGGGCCCCCGTCCCCGTCCTTGGATGCCTCTCCCTGCACCAAGCAGGCTCGCCGGACGCGCTCCGTCGGGGCCGGGCCGAGCCTCGCTGGCAGACGACGCCCCCGCGGAGGACCCAGAGGCCAAGGGCGACTGCCCGGGGGAGAGGCCTCTGACTTCCTTGGCGCCCTCGTTCCAACCTCCCTTTCTGATCTCTCTCCAGCCCCTCCGCCCGCCGGATGCCGCGCCGCGCGGGGGCCGAGCAGGCGGTCCGAGTCCGCAGCCCTCGCTCAGTACAGTCGGGTCATCCCGGCCCCCACCGGGGACCAGCTCCAGCCTCTAAGCTCCGGCAGCCGGGTCGGGGACTCCGGAGGCCACCGGGGCGACACCACGACTAGGACGCGCCCCCGCGGACCCCGCAGAGGCGGCCGTGCCACGGCCAGCAGGCGGACCGCGCGTCCCGGCCGTCAGCGGCGTGAGAAGCGATGGTCCCAGGGGGCGAGACCTCGGGGGGAGATCCGAGTCGGCTGGAGCTGGCCCTGACGCCGCGCCACGCCCCCTCCCCGGTCGGAGCCGGGTAGGGCGCGGGCTGGAAACCCAGCGCCGCATCCGCTGGCCAAGCAGAAGCGGGCTCTGCGCCGGTCCCACCGCTCTTGAGCGTCACGGAGAACTCTGGTGGCAAAGAGGATTCGAAACCAGGGCTCAAGGCGGACGTGGGGAGCCGGCTGGGCAGGCGCGGCCGAGGCGGCGACCCGGGGAGCCGCACGGCCCAGCGTGGCGAGCGGCGGTCATGGGCGAGGGCTGAGCGCCCGGCCCCGCGCTGCCTCCGCGTCGGGCCATGGCCGGCCGCACCTGCAGCTGCGGCCTGGGCCTCCTGCACGAGGACAACGCGCGCTTCCTGCTGCTCGCCGTGCTCATCGCTCTCTACCTGCTGGGCGGCGCCGCCGTCTTCTCGGCGCTGGAGCGGGCGCACGAGCGCCAGGCCAAGCAGCGCTGGGAGGAGCGCCTGGCCAACTTCAGCCGCGGCCACAACCTGAGCCGCGACGAGCTGCGAGGACTCCTCCGCCACTACGAGGAGGCCGTCAGGGCCGGCATCCGCGTGGACAACGTCCGCCCGCGCTGGGACTTCACAGGCGCCTTCTACTTCGTGGGCACCGTCGTGTCCACCATAGGTGAGTGGGCCCGCGAGGCCCCGGCCGCCGTTCCCCAGCGCGGCTCGCGACCTGCAGGCGCGGGTGCCTCCGTGCTATCCACAGGCGGCCTGCGCACTGGCAGCGTCTGCCCCACCTGGGAGCTGGTGGCACATGCAGTCCTAGCGGGCGGGCGGGCGAGCGGGTCTGATCCTACCCGGGAGTACCTGGCCTCGAATCCGACTCCAGCCCCGGATTCCAGCTTCCTGCTCCTGTAGACCGACCCTGGGAGGCAGCAGGTGGTGGGTCAGGTAATGCAGTTCCTGCGCCTAGTGGCACAGCTACTGGGTTGAGTTCCTATCTTCATTGAAAGCACTTGGGAAGGGAGCCAGCTGATGGGAGCACCTGTTCTCCCTCCCCCTTCCTCCCCTCCCCCCCTTTTCCTTTCCCTCTTCCCCTCTCAAATAAGCTAACTGCTTTTGTAAAGAGAGAGAGAGAGAGAGAGAGAGGCCATGCAGCCTACGGCCCCTCCCCAGGCCTGCAGCATCAGCACCTGCGACTCTGCAGAAGACAGCTGCAGACAGGGACAGGGATATGTGAACATTCACTGACTTTATTCTGTGCGCCAGCTGCTGGCCAAGGAAAAGCCCGAGTTTATTTTTATTTATGAGAGAGAGAGAGAGAGAGAGAGAGAGAGAGAGAGAGAGAGAGAGATCTTCCATCTGCTGATTCACTCCCCCAGATGCTGGCAACAGCCAAGACGGGGCCAGGCCAAAGCCAGGAGCCTGGAACTCCATCCGGGTCTCCCACATGAGTGGCAGGGGCCCAAGAACTTGAACCATTCCCCACTGCCTCCCAGGGAGTGCACTAGCAGGGAGGGAGCTGGATCAGAAGCAGAGTCAGGACTCGATCCCTGGCCCTCGGGTATAAGATAAGGGCATCCTGTGGAGCAGCCTAACCCAGTGCGCCATAAAGCCCACCCCTAAAGCCCGAATTTAAAGACTCGGTCCTTGACGTCATGCTTACAGAGAGCAGATCAGGTAGAATCCCAGATTGGCAGTGATATGCATTCTGTAAGGTGGAAACATTTCCTACTAGGAAGAACCAGGGCAAGCATGGCTTTCGAGCTGAACTAGTTAGGGTTCAGCACGATTTGGGTTTGAGGACGAAAAGTGTGTTGTCTCTGGGGCAGGCAAGAATTACATTCAGCAGCTGCGAGCTGGCTTGTCTGGTGGGAGCGGTGGAAGGGAGGCTAGGGAGGTCTGCTGGCTAGCGGGATGGAGGGGCCTTCACTGTCAGACCAACCAGCTAGACCGAGCTTACCTGGAGGCGGCCGAGAGCCAGGGAGAGTTTGAGCAAGGGTGTGGCGTGGTTTTGGTCTGTTATGCTTTGGTCCCCAGCAGAAGATGGGGGGTCTCTGCGCTACACCCCTCAAGACTGTTCACCCTTGAAGCTTAATCTGGTGCTAATGGATTCGGGGACGATGCTGTAGAGATGGAGAAGAGAGGGCTGGAGCGGGAGAAGGGTGTGAAAGGCTAGCCAGAGAGAGGCAGCCGCATCCCCCCTGCCTCCCACTGCAAGATCCCCAGGAGCGGCGAAAGGGCCACAGCACCAGGTGTGTGTGCTGAGTGCTGCACAGAAGGCTCATCAGGGGAGGGGGGGCCCAGGTGGAGCGCCCCGGGGCTCCCACACGTGGAGGTGGCATGCTGGGAGGGGGAGCACCGTGGAGGGAAGAGATCAGCCTCAGGCCTGACCGGTGAAGAAAGGTTAGTCCAGGAGCCAAAGCTACAGCTGGTGAGTAGGAGGTGGGACGGAAGGGACCGGCATGACCAGGGACACACGGAGGGTATACCGAAAGTTCTGTGCAGAGCATCCTGGCTCACAACCCTCGGCCAGCTTGGGTGGCACTGCCCATTGGCAGGCCGTGATGGCGCCATGATAACTGGGGATCCCGGAAGCACTCGCCATGTTCTCTGGACGACCAGGACCCAGGACCCTGGGGGGGATGGAGGAGGAGTGACCCCCCCCCATGGCTCTCTCTCCCAGGCCACACCCTGCAGGGCTGTGTTAGCCATGTTCCTGAAGTCCCTCAGAACACTTCCTGCTCCAAAGACGGTTCCAGAGTTTCTACTTAGGAAGGTCTCGGGGTGAACATGTAATAAGCAGGTGTTGCTCTGGGACTTAGCCTTGACCTTGTTGTGTTTGTGTAGCAAGTACAAGATTTTGGTTTCAGTAGAGTGATGAGCTGGTGGGAAATTAGGGAACGGAGTGCTCTTGACCGCCATCAGAAACCACCCCCTGCGACCCCCAGAGCTGCAGAGGGGGAAGGAGCAGTGGGGGTAAGGACGGGAGCGTGGGTGCAGCAGACACCGGGGCTGCCTGGGGAGCTGGGCCCGTGTGAACCCGGGCATTTGAGCTGCAGAGGTGATCGCGTGGCTCAGTGCAGTGGAACCAGACTGGCAGGATCCAGGGTTGGAGACTTTAGTGCCTCTGTAACTGGGCACGATTCCTAACGCTTCTGAGCTCCATGCTTCTCATGCAGGGCACCTGCAGAGAGCCCACCTGGGCACCTGGTGCACCCTCACTGTTCAGTGACACCTGCTTCCGCCTCCTGCCCACGTCTCCCAAAGCTCTTCCAGGTTCTTGTGAAGGGCAAGGCACTTTGGCATGTGAGTGCTTGGTAAAAAGTACAAAGCATTATATGACTAGGAAGCATAAGTGTGGGCTTTTTTTTTACTTTGTCATGTCTTTTTAAAAAATTTTTATTTATTAGAGAGCGAATGAGAGCGCACACTCATCCATTGATTCACTCCCCAGAGGCCTGTGATGGTTGGGTCTGGGAGCCGGGAATTCAGTGCAGTCTCCCCCCTGGGTACCAGGCCCTCAGTCCTGAGCCATCACGGCTCCCTCCTGGAGTCTGCATTAGCAAGAAGCTGGCGTCAGGAGTGGAGCCGAGATCTGAACCCAGGCAGCCTCGATGGGAACACGGGCCTCTTAACCACCAGGCGAACTGCCTGCCCCTACTGTCTCGTTTCTAACACTTGGCTTTTACTTGCTTACTGTTGCTGTAGTAACGGCGCCTGGCACCCTTCAGTGAGCACATACTAGGTGCGCACTGTGAATTTGTGGTCATGGGAGGCAGTTTATGCTGCCTTACCCTGACACTTCATGTCAGTCAGCACAGCTCCGTGAAGTAGGGGTGACCTCGCCCATGTATAGATGAGCAAGCTAAAGCTTCATGTTCTTTGTAAAATCAATGTAAAGAAGAAAAAATTAAACCATCTGTCATGGTATCACCAGAATTAGCCGTTACTAGCATCCTGGTGCATTTTGTTCTGGCCTTTTCCCCCAGGCATATGCATGTATGCGTTGTTAAAATGAGAGTGAAATCTATCGGCTGTAACCTGGGTTATTGTCGTACTATTATATGATGGTGTCCCCTAAAAATTAATTCCATCATGCTTTATTCTGCCAAGACTTGCATGTAGCAGACAAGGAAGCACGCAGGAAAGCAGTCATAAAAGGGAAGTGAAATACCTGACCGAGGGAAAGGAGGAACAGAAATATGGAAGACAGAAGGATCTAGAAAGGGGCTGGAAAGGAGCTTTGTGTTGGTTTGAGTTCCCTCAGTAGCAAAGAGCCAGGAATCTGAGTGCAGAAAGTTTACGGGGAGGTGCAGGGGATACAGGCGAGGGAAGGGGGAAGTGATACAAGGCAGGGAAGTGTATGCAGAGTGGCCGGGTGAGGACGCACACCACGGCGTGCACCTGCTGTGAGATCCTTAGTGGAAGCCAGAAGCAGCACAGAACTCACAACCCACGTGATCCTAGGTGTGCAGGCTGGGGTGTTGATACTCCCACGCCTGTCGTGAGTGGTTAAAGGGGGTCTGTGAAGGAGCTTGGGTTGGGGAGACATTCCCAGGAACTTGGGGCTGTTTTTCATCATCAGCCCCCGGCCAGAGTCGTGACCCAGCCTAGGATTCTTGTTATCACAAAGGAGGAAACATAGGCGGCTTCCCAGAGCCCGATTCTCTGAAGAATCTTCCCCTTGTGATTTTGTGCAGGACATTTTCCTGGAAAATGAAATTGAGAACTGCACGCATCGGTTATCTAATTGAACTGTGATTTAAGCGTCAAAGCAGAGTGGAAAACAGTTTCTCAGAAGGTTAAACATAGAGTGACAATATGAGCCAGCATTCTGCTCCTGGGTGGAGAGTGCAAACAGCTCAAAGTGAGGATTCAAACAATTATTTCAATGCTAATGTTTATAGCAGCGTTATTTCTATAGCCAAAAGTGGCAACAGCCCAAGTGGCCGGTAGCGGATGCGTGGACAAACAAAATGCGATACACGTGCACAGTGGACTGGCACTCAGTCACATAAAGGAATGAGACGTGGAGAAATGCTACAACACAGCTGAGCCTTGAAAAGAACTGTGCTCAGAGAAATATGCCAGGCACAGAGGACAAGCACTCTGGGACTCCGCTTACGTGGAGAACCTAGAACAGGCAAGTTCATCAAGATCAAGTAGGAGGTTACGGGGCTGAGGGAAGGCGGAAGGGCAGGGTTACTGTTTAGTGATGTGAGATGATTAGGAAGTTTTGAGCATAGGTAGTGGTGATGCTTACACAGCATTGTGAATATAGTGAATGCTCCTGGGTTACATACTTCTCAGGACTTGAAAGGATTTTATGTATCTTCTCCCACACTAATAAAAGAGCCAGAACATAATATTAAGACACAATTCCCGGATGTTGATTGTGAAATGAGCTGGTGATCAGACTTGAGCAAGAATAAATTGAAAGTATTTGGAGGCTGGCGCCACGGCTCACTAGGCTAATCCTCTGCCTTGTGGCGCTGGCACACCGGGTTCTAGTCCCGGTTGGGGTGCCGGATTCTGTCCTGGTTGCCCCTCTTCCAGGCCAGCTCTCTGCTGTGGCCAGGGAGTGCAGTGGAGGATGGCCCAGGTGCTTGGGCCCTGCACCCCATGGGAGACCAGGAGAAGCACCTGGCTCCTGCCTTCGGATCACCGCGGTGTGCCGGC